TTTTTATTTTTTATTTTCCGGAATTTGTTAGGGTTTTACTATTTAAATCATTGTAAGCCCTTTAAGGCTGGCATTATTGAATTGAATGAGAATTTTCGTGAATTTATCTCATATTTGTGAGGTTGTTTATTTTTCCTATAATCTTTCGCTACGTCACACTGCATATAGGTTTGGGACTTCAACAACAACAATGTAAGGTTTGGAATCCTAGTATGATTTACCCTAGATAAAATCCATTAATTATTTTGTCGAGAAGGCATGTGCCTTGTCCCATTTTCTTGACCCTAGTGAGAGATGGAAACAAAGTGAATTTGGGCCCCCCATTCCCAGTCCCCGTCTCATCAGGATTTTACACATCATATCTCGTCTGTTTAGCTTGTTATTTTATTTTTAATTGTTTACATTTTATTTTAAATATTAGATAACTGATTATAATTATTAAATGCTAAATATATAAGTTAATTTAATTTGAAAAAAGAAACTCTAAATAATAGAGTCACTAAAAGAAAAAGATAAAATTACATTATTATATATTATTATTCCTAATATGACTAATAGTTTTTTGACATGGGACAAAATGAAATCTATAATAAAGTCCCAAGACTTAAACTATAAATGTAATAAAAAGCACGATGAATTAGTACAATCTTGATATTTATTATATATTTTGTAATATAATAATATTATTATTTAATATATTTACAAATTTGAGAGAGGATCCTATTTTCTGTTATCGTATGAATTCACAACGTGGACTTTATTTTCATCCTTATTAGATCTCAATTAATTGGGGAATCCCTGCCCGTTCTCGTCGATATGCTTCCGAACCCATATTTTTAGGTATTAACTACCTATAATATACATACATGAGAAAGAAGATTTCAGTTTTCGTTTTTTTTTTCCCCTTATGGACAACACTCCGAAGCAAAGTCAAATAAGTATTTTTGTATCTATAATATTAAAACTAGCATCAGTGTCTGAGACACATTCAGCGATTTTACCTCTTCCACAATGCTTTAGGGAGAGGGTGATGTGGGGTTCAACCTTAATAATTTACTCTTTTTAAATTTTTTAATCTTGTTTTGGATAGCGGTCCTTGACTTTTTACGTTAAGGCAACCGAATACACTAGATTAGGGTTGTCCACCTCCAGTCCAATGTCAGGTCCTTCACTACTGCAAATGGTCCCATCAGTTACAATATATTTAGAAAAAAGCGTACGTACTGGCTTTTCCTTTTACATGGTGTTACGTTGACAACACCTGTTTGTAACTATTTTTTTTCAACTTCCAAAGAAATTTTGTCAAGTATCGTTTGTGAAAAAATCATGTGAAATGCACTTGTACGTGTATCATTGTAAATATTTATGCGGCTTGAAATTTAGGCTAAGTTTGAAAAATGAATTTGAGAAAACTATATTTTAAAGAATTTGTATCAAGGAATTGCTTAGTGAGAAATACAGATAGACATGATCGATACTATCATATGTACTAATTAGGTAAATCGTTGTTTGTGTTAATAGTCTTGCAAAAGGAGTGCGGTTTGATTTTAAGATTTGACTGAAACTCACGACTTTATTTCTATTTATATTTTCTCTAACCTAAATATCTTAAATTAAAATGCGACACTCGATTCATTAGTCAACTGGAGAATTCTTATTGTCAACTTGCCTAACAAGCCTCTATATGTCCCTGGCTCTACTTCGACTTCCTACTTTGTTAGGGATTCGATTGTTCTATCTCGATGGTTTTTTTCGTGAATTTTAAGATATATATATTCATATGAGAAAATTAAATGTTACCCAATCAAGAAGATTTTCTTATTGTTCTCTTACTAAAGTAGAAAAATTATTAATTCACTTTATACTTGTTGGTTTCCACCTTCCTTATACATATGATTTATTCCTTCTTTTCTTAAGAGAAATATTGGAAAGTAACATAAAGTTGAAGAGAATCAAATGCTTTTCGTTTTCACGTCGATTTTCTGTATTTATTTCAGATATGGATGAAATTATTTTTCATTTCCCTTTCTATGCTTACTTTTACAATAGCGCGATTCTGTAATTAACCATACAAGGCTAGGGATTTGAGTTCGAGCCTTATGGAGGATTGAGATCGAAATTAAAAAAAAAAAGTTAATGCACGTACTAACAAATATCAAGAGATTGATCAATAATTACCTAATGCATGTGAGTGTAGCACATGTTAGTGGACATAAAAAGGAGCATTGGTTAGGAAATAAATATTTCCTAGCAATTCCATTAGCTTTTTTAAAATGAAAAAAAATAATTAATAAATATATTTAATGTACTTTTTATTATTTTATATTTGGAATTTCTTTTAAAAATTGACATGTAAGCTGCGTAAATGTAACAAAATAATTTATGAAGAGCAAAAAGAAATTTTGCTACTAAAGCGTAAAGCTAAAGTTTAATTATTAAATTAAAGTCTTATTATTGTAATTAACTATTAATATATCATAAATATTCGCTTAAAATAAAGAAAATATATGTTTATAAAAAGTATCCCATCCTTAGCCACTGTTTGGTGCACATTTTTGTTCCAAGAATGCATTTTTTTATTGATGTGATGGAGAATATGTGATTGAAAAAGAAAGAAAAGTTATAGATGTAATGGAAAATATTATTTTATTGAAAAATGTGTGGTTGAAAATGAGTAGAAAAATGTAAATGAAAAAAATAATGTGACTCAAACAGGGGCTTAATCAATCTCCACAATTATGGCTTAATCAAGTGGACGTATATTTCACTTCAAATTTTTCTTCATCGACTAGAGTTGGAAAATAAAATTTAAATTTGTAAAATTTGATCATCGATCGTCACATATGATGTGCAAGAGAATTTGGATAGTTTTCATCGTTCGGCTAATTAAGAACTTGATTGGTCAGCAACCTTTCGAAATGTGTCATTCTAACCATCAAACTTTTGTAGTAGATGACGATCAAACCTATAGAATTATCTCTGTTAAATCACTGATCACATATCGATTACTTGATATAATGAATTTAGTTATTTGCCTTATGGCGATGCTTATATTGCAAAGGGAAGTGACAACGTAGCTGAAAATCAACCAGATTAATATTTACAATCACGTTGATCTCAATAAATAAAACTAATGAATTAAAATTAAAAAAGTTTAAATGAGCATTATGAAATCAAAATCGTGATCATAAATATCTTCTTTAGCTTATTAAATGAATCAAATGATGACTACATTCATTGACCATCTATGCTAAGAACGGTTTGATGACTAAACCGATACAAATTTTAAAATTTGGTTGCCAATGAACCTTCAATTATAATAAAAGATTGATGACCAATTTATTACTAGACTAATAGGTTGAGGGTCAATAGTGAAATTTACAATTCCTGATTTCCTTCTTCACGTTCTTTGCCATCTTAAAGAGTAAACCCATCTCACTTCTGGCTCTAGGCATTTCCACGCAGTACTCTCTCTCTCTCTCTCTATGTGTGAAAGAGAGTGTAAAATTATGACACACAAGGAGAGTTGAAAGGGTCACATAATACAATACTGACTGCTTTATTTTCACATTATACTCTGAGAACTCACAAATACATATAATACAAAGACAGATGTTAAGCTGCTGAATTTAACTCGTTGTGGGCTCTAAAAGATTCAAACTTGAAGCCTTTAATGCACTGTTTCCTCCTTGAATCACGCCTTTTAGCATCTGGGTCTACGGGATGGCGACTTCAGAAATATCTCAGGTAGACTTAGAATGCGGCGGCGGCGGCGGCGGCGGAGGAGACGGCGGCGAGGAGGAGGAGGGTAACGTTTTTTTCTCCGACGCCGATGAGGACTCTTGTTATTCTCAGTTTTACTCCACGGTTGATGGGGATGGCTCTTATGATGATTACAGCATTGCCTGTGGCTCTGAGAGCGGTGAGATTTTGGAAGACGAGGTTTCGGATTCTAGGAGGGTTTCATCAGCGGCCGATTCTGATTGTTCTGTGGATATAGAAAATGGTGGGTTTGGAGAAATTAAGGTGCATTTTGAGAGGGTTGAGAGAGATTGTAGGATTTGCCATTTGAGTTTGGTGAGCAGTAGCCCTGATTCTGGGGTTGCCATTGAGTTGGGGTGTTCTTGTAAGGATGATTTGGCTGCTGCTCATAAGCATTGTGCAGAGACTTGGTTCAAAATTAAAGGGAACAAGTGAGTAGTCCAAAATCTTGAGTTTTTTTTTTAATTGTTTTGATCATGTGAATTTTGTTTTGCATTTAAAGGTTTATGTGTATAATACTAGACTCTCCATGTCCATGCCTCTTTAGATTTCAGCAGTTAGTCCTTGAATAGTCTAGCCTAATCAGAATGTACACTTACCCTGAACTGCAAATCGACCTAATATTCCTTGGATATTCACAGTGAAACACGGTACATCATTTTTTTTAGTTTACTGCTCTCGTAAATGGGGATTAGGACTAAATCCATAAGTATTACTAGTTTCCATGGCTTGCATTATTTGACTTTTATTCTTTGCATTATGTCATGTTTAATTTCCTTTTCTCTTTTGGAGTTGTTGGGATAATTATTGTATTGAGATGGCATTTCACTTATGACAATAATGAGTATTTTATGGATACCTTACGAGGTTGGTTTGCTTTGATAATACAGATACCAAAATTTAGTTTAGTGAAAAGGAAAGGTAAAGAAGCTTGCGTTATTAGTGAGGTGATAGCAAAAGTTAAAGCAAAAGAATAAAGCAGTTGGAAGGATTGCTTAAATTTCTAATTACACCGACGATTCCTTTCTATTATATCCTTTTATGAATTTTATCTGCTAGCTCATTCTTGAGATTCTCTTTCTTTCTTTATCTAAGTGGAGATTTTATATATTCAGTTCTTTTTCTGCGAAAAGATTATTGTTCTCTGGTCCTGCTTTTTGAATATTTTGTTATCATTTTCTTGTGGTTTTGAATTGATGCTGAATCTACTTGGTAACATTCATACAAGTGTTCTCACTTGTTATGCGCACGATGTTCCATACATGGGACGATATCCATGAATTAAGTACAGCAATATGATTTTGTTTGGTATATTAATTGCACTCTAGAAATCTATTAAACATGTGGTACATCAGCAAATTTTCTTTCCTTCCCTACGACAGATGGCACGTAATTAGTCCTTACTCTCAGTACCTTTATATACCAAAAGGATTATTCTATGTGTACACCTTGTGGTGTACACAATCTTTTATACCCCCCTCACATGGAGGGGGCCCACAAGTGGCCCACAAATATTTTATTGTATGTGGGCACCCCTCCATGTGAGGGGGGTGTAAAAGATTGTGTAAACTATTGTATACACATAGCATTTTTCATAAGAATAAGAAGCTTGAAGATGTAATGATATAATTGCCAACCTTGTGAAGGAAACCCTCACCTTTTTGGGATCTCTATCAATATAAAGCTAGTTGAGATCCACTAAGATGATAAAAAATTGTTGTCAAACTGGGTTATAGACAATACGAAGTTTATCTATTCGAGGATGGGAAAGGGGGAAGGTATGGAGTTTCGGTATCTTCATAAGTGATATTCTTGCCTCCTACGTTGGATGCACGGAAACTTCTAAGACGCAAACGTAAGTGTTTCCGAAACTCAAAAATAAATTTTAACATAGACCTAATTTTCTAATTCTAGCGTCAGCCATCCCTGATAGATTTATCAATTCCATGAAGAAGTCGTGTTACATTCCACCAGATTTTATATATGAATTCCTTTAAGATGACAATGATTTATGTTAAAATGTTTTAGTTAGATTGGATAGATCATGGTTATTTAATTTATAATAAATAGTTTTTTGAAGTTAAATATTGAATTTATGAAATAGATTAATAATTTTCATATAACGAACATGTAGCATTTTGTGTCCTACATTTTTCGAAATAATGTTTTCCCATGTCATGTCTTGTCGTGTCATGTCCCAATTGGTTTGTCGTTTCCATCTCCCAAGTATTAGTGTTCTCATGAGAAAGGATAAATTTTCGGTGCTAACTTTGTTTTCAAGCATCATTTCATTGTTTCGTTTGCTCTCTCATATTTTACTGCCAAATTTCTTACTGATACTCGTCTTTGCCAGAACTTGCGAAATATGCAATTCAATTGCTTGCAATGTTGTTGGCCCAAATGGCACTGAGGGAGCACAGCAAACAAATGAAACCAATGCCGTTGGAACATCAGCTCCAACATCCCTCGCTACAGGCAGTCGAAGTTGCTTAAATGGTCATCGGTTTTTGAATTTTCTTCTTGCTTGCATGGTATTTGCTTTTGTCATATCATGGCTTTTCCACTTTAATATCCCATCGTAAATATTGTAAACTGTTCAGACTGGGGGAAGCCTCTGAAGGTGATTGCAGACTTGTGAAAATGCACTTACAAGTTGGTAGGTACCCGTTCAGTTATCGCTTGTATACACTTCCCTGAGTCATATCTGTACTTTCGGCTTTCACCAAAAAAAAAAAAAAAATTGCGACTAATATGCAGTATGCATATTCATTGGTTAGCTGCAACATTTCTATATGTTAGTCTTTGAATCTATGGATTTTCCACCTGTTCTTGAATGAATTCTGCTCCTATTAACATACCATTCCCACACTCCTATAAACCATTTTCTAGATAAAAAACTGATTCAGAGAAACGGGCAAGAAGATTGTTGGGGGATTTTTTTCATTTTCTTTTCTTGAAACTTTTTGAGATTTCAATTTTAAATTAGGCATAGAGTAAAGATTAGACAGTCTGTATCTTTTGCTAAAGGCAAATGATAACCAATGGTTGGGAAAGGGACCTCTACTTCGAAGCAAGAGTGTCAAAATGTGCTGGTCTACTCGAGCTCTTAAAGACAAGACCAACTTGGTATTGGTCGTGTTGTGGGTAAGCTTGTCTCTACACTATTTCTGGGGCCTACAGTACCATCAGACCGCAGCATGCGGAAGAAAAGAAAGAAAATTGTACGGGTCATTTACGAGAAACACCTAAAAAGAGGGTCGTGCAGACCTTACACCTATTGTAGTGAGGTGCGTGCATTTGCCTGGTTTTCTAATTACACATCTAAAAATGTCATTTTCAAGCTATACTTTTACCATCGAAAATCTTTCCATTTTTTGTGTAGTGCCGAATTTTTTTTTCCTTGTGACAAATTTTACGCACTTGAAGAGGTCTGGATGGAGAAAACAAGAAATAAAACGCAGATAGAGAGCTGAAGATTAAGGTGAAAAATGGCAATCAATTTTAAATATCCTTTGATGTAGGACATGGAAAGTTTAGAAAAGGCTAAACACATGATATATAAGATTATGAATCTTTGTTACTTCTAGCTTCCAAGTTTGTGGCTTCGTTGAGTGATTGCTGGGCATCATTTTCCATCCCAAGAGCAGAGAGGGAAACTGCTTGAAGGTAAAAAGCAGTATGCCAGTCAGATGATACCACCAGTGCTTGCATAGCATCTGCTAGAGCTTCATTATGCATCTCACTCATCAAATAAGATAAGCAGCGACGAGCGTAGACAGTCGGCGATACCATAGTCCCACCATCGATGAACTACACGAAAAACAACAATTGTTAGGCTCTTTTCTACACCTACGTAAAAGTTCTTCAAATGAAATGAAGTACTGGAGTAGGACCGTATTATACTATGCATTTATTTTTACCAACCGGGGATCAACCTTGAATAGACAGGTTTACCAATGGGAAATGTAGATAGGGGACAGACCTGTGTGTAGCAATCAATGGCGGTTATGAAATCCTTGGCTAGAAAAGCAGCATCCCCTTGCTTCTTGAAATTCAAGGTCTCCTGCATCTGATTTGTCCACATTTGAAAAGATAGCTGCAATAAGATATAATTCAAAAAGATATTAGAGCTTGATGTTGATGAAACTGTTGAGTTTACCACTGAGCAAAGTAGAAGCAAGAACTCGAGAAGTATCTTTCACTTTAGAGAACTGATACATATAATATCTGCTCAGAACACACCCTAAGTTCTAGCTAAAGGCCATAAAATTTTTAATTCTGTAGATGGAATAGTCCATAAATGGACGTCCTCTGAGGCTTCAAAATGATTAGCCTGACCCATAGCTTTTGGTCCGCTATTCTGATCATGGATTTCCTACTCGAGAGGAAAACTCTATTCTCATTTCATTGTGGTTGTCCCACACAGGGATTCGAACCCCCAATATTAAGGTTCATAGCCATGTGCTGTAATCTCTACCTATAGGATAGGCCTACTCCAATTCCACCAGATGTGTTCCAGGAATAGCCTCAGAAAGGCATGGAGAAAAAAGGCTAAACTAGAACTTCGTAAGATCACAAAAAGTGTTCGTGAGATTGCCATGGATTTAGAAGAGGAAGATGCATACCTCATTGGCAATTCCTTCGTCATCCTTGTACCCAGCATTTTCCAGAAATTCGTGTATGGCAGTAAGATCCATTCTCAGGCATGCTTCACCCATGGGCGTCAACAATAATGGTAGCGTCAAGTTGGCATTTCCATGTGGAATGCCCAGTAAAACATGAGATGGAACCTGATCGTCGCATCGATAAGAAAATACTTATTTTCTGATCCATATTATAAAACTTCATTGGGAAGGATACTATTCATTACTTTCTCAACAGTTTGCAAGCACTAAAGCCTCAAGAGAGGGTGATTTCTATGATTTGTTCATACCTCAGTTTCTTTCTGAATTGACACGAGAGAAGTGACAAGAATCTTAGCATTTGGCCTTTCTCGTGCTTCATATTGCAAACAACGCGTAGCTAATCGCACCAATTCAGTTCCATCATCATTTGAAAAATGACCCTCTAAACAAGAATCCATGAACATCGGAAAATTTTTGCCACGAATAAGATCAAGTGCCTGAAAGTAGACCGAGGGGCACAACTCAAATTTAGATCCTCCCAAAGATGAACAGAACGAACTAATAAAAAATAAGGTTAACCTAGCAGACGTAGAAATTATTAATAAGCATGTAATGAGAAGAAAACTTGTAATATTGTCGAATGGACAGATTGTATATCTCATCAGCAACCACCACAAGATGCAAGATCATTTTTAAGTTGCACAAACTAATTTTTGTCAGTTGAGAACAACAGTATCGTAAGAACAAAAGCAACCCCGAGTTCAAATATAATGTAGTTCATCACTGAGGGAATGCAAAAGGCTTAAAAACTTTTAAATATTTATCCCAGAAAGCATTTCAGTGTAAGATTTAGTTCATTTATGAGGTTATCCTAGCAGGCTCCTGGAGTAATAACAGTTAACATTTAGTGAATCAACACAAAGAATTGAAGAAGAAGCACATGCTAGCAGCAGGTTAAATTTTGAGGCATTCGGTAGTTATTTCTTAAACAAATATGTAGTCTTTTTAATGAATTATGAACTTACATGGCTTGGGGGTATATGCTTGCCACTTAGAAGATCTAGCAGCATGGTTCCGAAGCTGTAAACTACACTTTCTGGAGTCACTCTTCCTGCCAAACATCGGAGACAAATTACCGAAAGCTAAACTTAAATAGCTGCATATATAATATCATTTCATATTTGTACATGTAGTTTATTGCATAACTTAATACAGCAGTTCAAGAACACTAATTGAACAGATAGCACATATATGCAAATTACACGTACAATTTGTCGAGCACCTTCTTAACCTTGATAAACAACATCATGTGTATTGGGAGCTTCATAGGGCAATATTACGAGTTCATAGAGAATACACAATTATATACCAGTTCTCAAGTACTCTGGAGGAGTGAAAGCTAAGTTTGTACTGTAACTTTTGCCATCCCGACTATTCTTCATCAGGCCAAAACAAGAGAGCCGAGGATTCCCATCCTGTAGACCAATAAATGAATATAAGACTACAAAACATTCAGTTTTGGATGGAAAATGCAAACTTACATGGAGCACATTTCACCTTATCAAACAAGACTCTGTAAGCATTAAGATCGTGGTACAATGCCCGTCCTCGGCTACTGCAGTACTCCAGAGCTTGTGCCAAATACAAAGCCACCCTCAACCTCATTGCCCATTTCATGGGCTGCTTCTCCCCTATACCAATACAACCACTAAAATATATTAAAACACTATCCATACGAAGCCAATTTGGCCTAGAAAGCACGACAGGATTTCATATCTCCAAGAACACATCATTAATGCAAATCAGATCTCAAAATCAACGTGTATATGAGAATTGACTCCATATGTATAAAGGATGAAATTTGCCATTTATTGTTTTAGGGACTAAGCCTTAATCCTTTCTGAAAAAAGAATGCAATCAGAAAATAAACATGGTAAGCACACGAATTTCCACTACCTATACAATATGATTAGGCTCCACACATTTCAGCATATTATTTATCTGATAAACATCCATGTCCGGGATGTAGTGTAAAATGCTGTAATACTGTAATAGTAATATATACAAAACTCACAATGGAATAAATGTTTTGCTAGAGTTTCGTTAGGCATAAACTCTGCCACCAGCAATCTCTCCTCTTCCTCGTAGCAACATCCTATCAGATTTGCCAATCGCTCACTTCTCAGGTTCCCCACTGCCTTAGCCTCATCCTATAATAACCAACCAAAAAACAGTAACATGACAACACAAACTCAGAAACTGATGTTGATCTTCTGATTAATGAGAAAATTGTAAATACTAACAAGGAATTGGCGAGAATCAGGCCAAGCGGACTTATTGAAGCGCTTAACAGCAATCCACTGATAATTTTCAAGCAATCCTTTGTACACTACATTGGGAGCCTTCTCTCCATGCTCTGAAACAATGTTTTCAGAAGAAAACCCATTTGTAGCAGATTTCAGCTCCTCCCAGCTGAACTCTCTGAAGCTTGGCAATTCATTTTTCTCCCCATTTTCTGTAACCATTTTACACAGAACACAATAATGTAAATTAAAGATCCAAAAATCCCTCCAAATACAGCATGATACTTAAATTTACCTACCCAGATCAGAGGATTGAAGAACAGAGGGCTTGAGGTTAGAGTGCCACCAGCAGAATGAAAATTTGGAGCAACTTGCACCCATTTTAATGGCAACACAACACAACTCAAAGAAACTAAAGCAATTAAAGAACACGCTCAACAAAACAAGTGTAGAAATGAAAGTTGATCAAAATTGAAGCATCGCATTATAGTGCAGGAGTGGGATTTTGGTTTTCATATTTCAAGACAAGAGCATGCATTATATATGCAAGAATGAGTTTGATGTGTGTGGGGTATAGTATGATTTTCATTTAGTAAACAGTAATACATGCGTGTGCTGCCTGCGTTTGTTAAAAAAAAAA